CAGGAAGGAGTCACTGGAATTGAAACTTGTGTACCAGTGCACATCAGCTGTTCTGTCAGAGTAAAACTCTGTCCCTGAACAGAGGCACACTTCATCGCTTGGTCTCTTAGAAGAGCTGTTGAATACAGTACAGACTGGGGGTAGGCTTTTTGCAGGAAACAAGATTTCCATGCCATGGTTGAACATCTAAAGGATCACTGTGGCATGGCTTGGTGGTTGGGTGTCGTGTTTTCTGTTTGTGTTGCTGCTTTTCCTGAAGTCAAGTGGAGAGAAGTTGAAAGATGAGCAAGGGAGAGACAGCTGAAACCAGCTAAGAAATGTTCTTTTTCCTAAGACGCAGTGATTTTCGGGTTGCATCTTAGATGCCACTCCCAGATTAAGGCTGCACCTGAATTCATAAACAGTTTATAATGGAAAAGAGCATTGTTCTGCATATGTTTTTTGCCTCTTCCATCTATACCAGAAAAGTGTTCTTGAGGAATTTAAGAAACTCGTTCTTAGTGTTTATTGTTTTAGTTCACAGCAGTTCTTTTCTAGGATACTCTTCTGATCTGTTAAGTAAAAAAAAAAAATAATCTCAGAGCCAAATGATCAGAAGTTAGAAAATGAAGTTGTCTGCATGTTTTTACAACATCTCAGTGTCTAGATGTCAGGATATAATTGCATGCTGTCTCTTACCACAGGACCACTGCCTCACATAGTGCACAGAATGGATGGATGCTGCTAACTGCATGACCGGATGTTTGACATTTTGAATTACCCTTATTGTTAAGTGTTGGCCTTAGGCTTTATTTATTGTGCACTATTCAAATTCTGATCTGAAGACAGAATGATTAATTTCCTCATGGACTGTCCTATGACACTCATCGCTGTATTATTATTGGAGTATTCTAAAAACATTAATTCATTCTTACAACACTCTGTGAAATGGCAGTCATAGTACTATCCCCACTGGGGAAAGTAAGCAGGGACAAAGTGAAATGTTTTTCCTAATTGTTTGAAAAAAAACAGACTCCATCTTTTTCAAACTAAGTATTCAAAGTAGGCAATGCTATAGCATTCATTTATTTAAGTATTGCTTCTCAGGGAGTCTGATTTCAGTAGTAATTGTGCAGTAATTTTGCACAGAACATGACATTTTTACATTAGACACCTAGAATACAAAGGACCTGCAGTTTCTCATGACAGTTAGTGACATCTTTGGTTTCTTTCCTAGTAAAGCATTGAAGATTTATAATTCTTACAAGAGTCTTCAGACCATTAAATATTCCATGTTACAGCCCAGATTCGTTTGCAGATCATATAATATCCTGTAAGTGTGAAAAAATTAATGTAGGTTTTGAGTCCGAAAGCATATATGCACAAGGAGGCAGAAGTTAGGTTGCAAACCAGCCATATTTCAGGCACCTCTTGAAGGGTGAAGTTAACAATATTAATGACATTTAATGAGAAAATAGTGTGTTTGAGGGAATGTTAAATAGTATTTTTCTCCAAAATGTTATTGAAACTTAGCTTCAGCTTTTAAAAGAATGTTTTCTGGGCAAAGTACGCATTTCCTCTATACAGTGGAGCAAACTTTTGAAATTCATGGTACTAGAACTTGCAATGTGACTTATTTTCCTGCTTTTTCACTGGAGGTGTATTCATTGTTCTGTATAAATTACACATCATGTCTAATTATTGTAATTCATTGTAAGTTTCCTTAAGCTGGTATTTTTAGTGCTTTCGCCAGATATTTGAGCAAAACAGAAGAAACAAAGAACACGAGGTTACTGCTGCCTGTTGGCCAACTATTTTAGGAGACCCATTTGTGCTCTTAAACTCCTAGTAGTTGTCGTCTTTTTTGCAAGTCTATGTTTGGGACTGAGTACTCTTCTGCCAAGGATGGCAGACCAGAAGGCCTGAATATGTTAAGAAGCAAGAGTCATTACTAGTGCATGTAAGCATAATTGGGTTGATTTTATTCTTCTTTTTGAAGGAGCAAGGCTTACAGTATTTTTATTTTCGATTGACTGTGTTTGTTTCTGCAAGGACTGGGTAGATATTGCCATGCATTCTATGCTGTTTTTTCCTTTTTTTGTGCTGCTAGGTACTGCCTCCATTAAGAGATGTATCAAATCGTCCAGAAGTCGGCACAACAGTGAGAAACAAGCTTGTGCGCCTCATGACACATGTTGACCTGGGAGTAAAGCAAATTGCAGCAGAATTTCTTTTTGTTCTTTGTAAAGAGAGAGGTAAAAATTACTTTTTCTTATTGCTTTTATATAAGGTCTTGCTGTAATTAGTGTATTTGCCTCTTGCTGTAACTTTTGATTCTTTTAACATTATACCGTTTTTTGTTTAGTGGTTGAATATAGCTGAATGATTTTCCTGTATCACTCTTTGCAGTTGACAGCTTGTTAAAATATACGGGCTATGGTAATGCAGCAGGATTGCTGGCAGCAAGGGGCCTGTTAGCAGGAGGAAGAGGAGATCATTGGTACTCAGATGATGAAGATACGGATACAGAAGAATACAAATCTGCAAAGCCAAAGTATAGTATTGTTTTCAGTTCTGCATATCCTGTTGCAATTTAGATGTTTTGACATAATTTATTTGTTTCACCTACTCCAGAGAGGCCAGTTTTGGACTGACATGCTTATATTAACTACTGTTTCCTGTTGACTTCATGGTCTAATTATTGAGGAAACAACCTCAAATAGTGACTATCATATAGTCAAATGTCTCAAAAAAAAAAAAAAAAATCACTGTGAGAATGATCTAACTTCAGTAGGGGGAACTTTGTAAAAATGGAAACTTGTCAAAAAGAAATAAGGAACAAAAATGGGAAATGTTTGTGGATGGCCTAGGAGCAGTTTCAAGATGTGTATTAGAGGCTCAGAGTACATGTGTGTTGTGCATTTCAGTGGATACTTAAAAAGATGGAATTGTTAAAGGAGAGTAGAGGAGGCTATCGGAGATGATACTGTAAAAGAGCATCAAAGCAGGCCAAAAAGGTTTTGAAGATAGAGCGGTTTAATGGAAGCATTAAAAATAAAGAGAACCTTCTTCACAGGTTGATCAAAAGCTGGAAGCCTGCTGTATGTATATGATCATCAGATGGCTGAGAGATAAGTAGGCAGAGAAAGGGGCAAGTCCACAGTAAAAAAGCTAAAGGAATGCTTTGCATCATTGTAACTATGAGGAAGTTTGAGGGAATTGGCAGGTGGTACCCTTTCTTTACAGGCTATGAATCTGAATAACTATTTAAAATTTAAGTTGAAAAAAGATTTTTGAACAAATTGAGAAAATTTTAGAAAAAAATTATAGTAGCAAACTTAGCAAGGATGGCTTTTGCCCCAGATTTTCCAGGAACTCACACGTAGTTGCCAAACTGCTAACTATTGTTTGTGGGGTATATCTCTGTAACAGAGAAAATAAAGGTTTCAAAACATGCCTTAAGGTTTTAAGCAGGACTTTGTGAAAAAGGAACAAACCAGTAGATCTAGTTGCAGTCAGTCACATTGCCTGGTACTAAAATTTCCCTAAAGAATCAAGTAGGTCACAGAGGTAAATATAGAAAGAGCAAAATAACTTCTATGAAGTTATGCATTGGGAATCCAATATGTTTGTTTGAAAGATTCAGCAATCATACAGAAGGTCTGTCTGTTGATTTTTATTAATCGTAATTGATTTGATGATAGCGGTTTCCGTTTGTCATGTTACATGTATGACTTGATGCCATTTTAAGTAGTTCTGAAATTGTTGATAGTGGGCATCTGAAGTGTGTTATTTTTCCACTTTACTATGTTTTCCTTGAATTACCCAGACATGATTAGGTATATGATGGGGGGAGTTGCAGCTTATTGAAAGATTCTTATTAAGGAACATGAATGAAAGACAGGTTTAAATGTATGAGAAGTTACAGCAATTATATTGCTTCTATGCTAAGAAACGAACTCTAAAACAGGAGGTTTCTTTTTATTTCTGCACTTCAGGATTTTTTTTTCTTGCTCTTTTGTCTCTGCTCTTCTTTCAAAAGCCTAACATCCAGTTATATGCCTACAACTATAACATCTATTTAATTAAAAGCTGACGCTTAAATGAAACATTCAAGACAACTGTCAGTTGATTTATGCATCTGATTTTCTGTATTGTTTTTAAATGTTTGTGATTAAACTGCTTGAAAAGATAATTTGCCCTGGAAGTGTTCTTTAAAACTACTTCTCTGTTTTTGTTACCATTTCTGTATCGCCGTTCACTTGTTTTAACAGTGAAAATAAAACTAGCATTGTAAATTCTCAAAGTAACCTTAATTTGGTTTGAACAAAAATCATCATGGGAGGGGAATAGTAAACTAATTCAACAGTGCTTCATGAGTAAGAAACTGTAACTGGAACCTGTCTATAGTTTCAAAATTAAGCCTCTACAGAATTAGTTTCAAACATGTATCTGTTGTTCTGTTCCGCATCTATGTCATTATTTCTAATTACATTGCCATTATTGCCATCATTATTCCCCTGGTTTCAAACTGCTTGTATATGAGTTACAACATAACAAGTATTAGTGCACTGTGTGTTTCTGAGTAGCTAACAAGAAATTAATACCGTGAATCAAGAAGATAGTATGACGATTCACAGGAAAAAGGCTACAGAAAAGGTATGAATATGAAGGTTAGCTATTTATAGTAAAAACTTTCATGTGCAGTTCAGACAGTTTCAGTCTTGTTGATTTCTGTTAGTGTGTTCCTCTTTCCTCCTATCAAGAAGATAGACAATGTACATACATATTTCTATAGAAATGTAAACTGTATTGTTTTTCCACCTCCAGCATTAACCTTATCACTGGTCACTTAGAAGAACCAATGCCCAATCCAATGGATGAAATGACAGAAGAACAAAAAGAATATGAAGCTATGAAGCTTGTCAACATGTTTGATAAACTTTCCAGGTATTGTATTACAGCTGCATTTGAGGGAGGCAGCTCATACCCTGACTCTTTACTAAGGTCTAGTGCTTCAAAATAGAGCTATAATCAACTTCTTGGAGGATTAGGATCACTTTAACTGCGGAGAAAGATGTTTAGCACTTCAAAGAAGAGAGCGATATGTAACAGGACTTCCGAGGAAACCTCTTTTGGAGAGGACTGGACTGGAGAATCAGGAAGATCTGGTGGTGGGGGGACCTGCCTCCTAAATGGATAGGCTGATAATAATGAAAATAATTTCTCCTTTTAAAGTGTGGGACGCAATCCAAGCCCAAGGCTAGTGTACTCATTTTCCCCAAGTCAATGAGCAGCCTCTCATGGTAACTACTTATGTCTGCTGCTTAAATGAAGAACAAATACAGTATGAAAACGGCTGTCACCAGAAACAATAAATTCTATAATGGAACAAATAAAAGGGAATTTACAATGAAGAATTATTGTGGATTTATTAGAATAAGTGTGGACTGGATTACAAATGAGCCTTTATAATTTGTTTTAAATGACTGAGGTAATGCCATAAAAGAAAATGGTACTTAATGTGACATGAACGTGTATGTTATTAATACAGAAAGTTTATTTTTATTTTTATATATAACTTTCTATGTACAAAAAGGGAACAGACCCATGTTGTTAGCTGTGGCTTTTTTTCTCTTTGACTCAGTATGCCTAGAATTTGCTAGTTTTTCTTCCCTCGTACTTGTAGCCATGTTGGAGTGATTGCTCGTAGTTCGTTTTCTGCGTAAGCTAAAGTTTTACATTCTTGAGGAACACTTGATGTAATACTAATTTACCATTAACTGAGCTGTAGGAATGTAGGCAAATATGTAAGTGGATCATTCTTCAAACATGGGAAAACTCAGCAGCTAGAAACATGTTTGTGTTTTCTGAGAGTCTGTAGATACTCAAATAACAAGATCTATTCAGGGAAATTCAGCAAACCAAGTATTTTTACGTCTTTATTGAAGATTAGAAATACAGCAAAAGATATGGGAGAATCTGTATTTTTTAATTAGCTGACAAAGACTGAATTATAAGCAGGAGTGAAAGCAGGGGAGGATCTCGGGACAACTAATCTGAGACTGTCAGTGAAGTAACTGGATTTTATTTCACATGATTTGCATCGAAAGCAAGTGCAGTATGTTTCAGTCTTTTTAATAGAAGAAAATGCAAGGCACGTGTAATCTTAATAACTACTATGTGAAATGGAACGATTGCTATATAAGCTGGAGAATTGAGATGCTGAGTGTTAGAAGTACCACAATAAAATGACTAAATCTCTAGATTGAGACCGGAGACACACTGAGACTGAAGACAAGTCGGTTGCTATCACTATAGCAGTTACACAAAAAGTCCGAATGGCGTTGCTGTCGCCTAAGAGCCTTTTCAGCGCAGAGGACTGGAGGCACCTGCTGGGTTGCCTGCTACAAACTGACAATAACTAAGCAGCTGGTGCCCTGTGTCACTGCTTATCCTCTTGGCCAGTAGCATTGCTTTCACCTTGGGCTTTCTGTGTCAGTTACATCCACCTGCAGCTTCTTCTATAGTACTTCAACTGCAAACACTTCAGGACTGGGACTCTCTTTGTCCTAAGGTTTTTGTTTGTTTGTTTTTAGTATAGTGATTACTGTGGGACAGTGTTGTTGATGTGACCCCTTTAGGTGCTGTGATAACATGAATAAAATCACTTGACTGTTCTTCCCACCCTTTTTGTTTTACTGAAAATTGGGGGTGGGGGGGAATGCTGGCAGGAAGTAAAAAGAAAGTAAGCCTTGGTTTTGGGAGGCTGTGAAATGTTTTTAATGAATGTAATTGAGTGCAATTGTGGGTTTTGCAGATGTTGAATAAAATAGGAAGCAGCCAGTATTGTATACAAGAAGAAAGAGTTAGTAACATGCTGATAGTAGTGGGAGTCCCTCCATGTTTTTGGAATTGAACACTTATGCCTCCAGCTTGAGTCTCTCAGTGCTGGGAGTTTTCAGAGACTTAAATCTACTGTGGAATGCACTTTTTTCCCTTGGTTTGCAACCTACAAATTTAAACTGGAGGTTGCTTTGATAGGAGTCTGCAGTTGATTCTGGGTTTTGAATCTTTGCTTTGAGGCAGACTGCTGGTGGCAGGTTTCCTACTTCTGCTGGTCTTTGTTGTTGTCACTGTAGGAGGGGACACGAACTGAGCAGTTTCAGTTTGGTGCAGTGCTTTCCTTAGGGGAGGAAGTTGGACAGGGAACCAACAGCTCCTACTTCTGATCTTGAACAAGTTTATGTAACTGTATCTGTGAAGCTTCAACAAGATCTGTTTGCCCAGAGAAGTTGTGGATGCCCCATCCCTGGAAGTGTTCAAGGCCAAGTTAGATGAGGCTTTGGGCACCCTGGTGTAGTGGAGGATTTCTCTGCCCATGGCAGAGGGGTTGGAACTAGATGATCTTTAAGGTCCCTTCCAACCCTAACCATTCTATGATTCTATCTTAGAGTGAACTTGTATGATGTACAGCAAAACTGGTTTGCTTAGTACACTTGTATTGCCCCAGTAATAGAAGCTGAGCTTTGAAGAGGTGGCATGCTTCTACTGGAGAAAGGTATGGGGGAAAAAAAAAAAGATGAAGGACTTACAAAATTGCTTCCCTTCCTGACTGATGAGGATAATCAGGCCAGTCTGTCACTGGGATGTTCTAGATTTGTCCTCGACTGGCTCTGAATTGTTTTTGAACAGTTACCTGATGACAGATTGAACTCAGAAAACAAATTTGCAAAACAGTACTACTTCATTGAAAAGTGTAGCCTTCATTAATGGCTGCTGTTTATGCTGTACTCTTTTTGTACAGGTTTATTCAAACTATAAGTAATAAAGTGGCATTTTCTCCCTTGTCCTGTAAGATGCCAGTGGATTTTTGCTTTCCAGGTTTCTCTTTATTTTCAGTATTGGCACTGACAAATTGAAGCTGCTTTGAGGTGATGTAAAGCTGATGCATGCTTTTGGTCATTTCAGGTCTTACTTCCAAAATTTTTTTTCTTGTCGATGGTAATTGACCATCGACAAGGCTAAATTAAAATTAATCACCCGGTTTTATAAAAATGTATGAAGGAAAGCTGAATATTGTTTGTGAATCCATTTCCCCTGCCTCAATATTTTAACATGGACTTGGATTCTACAAAAGCTTTTCTAGAAATTAATATTTTACTCAGATTTGCCTGGATGAAATTACTTTTTAAAATCACTAAATATATAAAAATTATAAGTGTAAATGAAAATGAAAAGTCTTGATTACTGCAGCTTTTGGCAGATGTAGATGTTACTTAGGTAGTTTGCTGTATGCCTGAACTTGGCCCTGAAGTAACTTGATGGGATCTGTTTGCAGTAAAGGTCAATAATATCTTGTTGATTCATTGAGAATTGTTTGGTGACTGTAAACCAGTGTCCTCTGCCTGTGATGGACATCTTTGAGCTTTGAAAAACTCCCCAGATGTGCAAAAAGATTTAACTCAACCTTTCATTTTTACAAAATACCGAGTTAGCCACCTTAAATCAGTGTTGTATGACATTGTGTCTGTTTATATCATAGATTATTGGAAATACTCTGTGTTCATTAAAATGTCTGGAAAAAAGCTAACATTTTTTCCATTGTAAATGGTAGGTAGAATTGTATATTAATTGACTAATTTAAAATGTCAGGATGCTTTTTCCAAGCCAACCTTGTATTAATAGCAAGAATCCTTTTGCTGATGAAACGGTCTCCAATTATCGCAGCTTGGGTTTTGTTGTACATTGAACAGAAGTCAACAAAACGAGTATGTAAGAGAACCTGTCTAAATAAGCAACCATACTCATTAAAAACACAAAATTAATCATAGAATGAATGAAGAAGGCAATGTTACATAGATTTTTTTTTTTTTCCTTCTCTTTCTAATCATAGAACAAAATAATGTTACATGAAAGGATCGGAACTATTATGTAGTACTCAATTATAAGGAGGTGAATAGGTCCCTAACATGCCATTTTATCAAAGGAGCAGACTGGTGTTTACATGATGGCTGTTTTATTACAGACACCATCATTAATTCCATGTGTCAATACTGCCCTATAGCACATAGAGCAGACAAGAAAGAGTTACCCTTTGAAACAAGGGAATGCTTTTTGAGTCGTTATCAAGCTAAATGGCAAGCAGGAAGCTAGAACTTATATAGCTATATTTGAAGGGACTCTTGGGAGATCTGGAAGTGGAAGAAGAGAATGCATTTTACCAACTGTTTAGTTATGGTGTGTTTCTAAGTGCACTTGAATAGAATGCTTTGTTTGCATTAGAAAAATGAATGTTGCCAGAAGGTGTGTTTGAGTATATGGGAGGTCATATGAGGATGTGCAAATATGTGTAAACGCGCACGTTGTGTACTTGTATGTATCTTCATGGATACAGAAGTATTCCCGCTGCCACCTAATGGCCTGAAGCAGTCTCTCTTCTGCCCTGTAGATGGACCATAACCATCCAGATTCTGGACAGTGAACTGTCTTCTGAGGCTATACGTGCCAGTTTCTGGTGCTTCCCTTCCCACCTTGTAGCTCACCTTAAACAGTAAGCACATCCTCAGCCAGCCCAAGTTGTCAAAGCTCAGTTGAGGTCTCTAAACAGCCAGTGCTAAACTGGAATACTGCTGAGGCTGGCGAGCTGAAATGGTTCAAATCAGGTAAGGATCAGCTCTGTGAGCTCTTGTGTGGGACTGAAGTTAGCTGAGTGATGCCTCTTGCAATTCTATCCAAAATTCTGTTATTTAGCAGATAGTCGTTCCAAACTTCTGAAGCCACCTTTGTAAGCAGCCCAGATCTTTTCATCTCTTTTGTCTCCCTTGTGAGGAGTAAGCTTTTGTCATGTTCAGAACTTGCAATCAAGTCTTCACCAGTGAAAGGATGCCATGTTTTACACCATTTTAGGACTAGGTTATGGTTAGGAAAAAAATAGGCTGATCCCTGCATCTCCTCCTACCTTTTCTTTTGGTGGCCTAGGATATTTCTGTCATCTTACAGTTTGATTTTACTGGGTAGCATTTGTCTGAGGAAGGATTCATGGAGTTCAGCCTGCTAATACAGAGAAAGAACAGCAAACTTGTAAGAACCATCATTCATCCTGTTCAAGGACTTGCAAAGCAGGAAATTATTGCAGGAACATAAAGGTAATGGATAAACATCCTTGTTATTCTATGAAATGTGAGATCAGTCTAGCTCATGGTTAAAGCCTAGAGAGGAGGAAATGAACCTCAAATGCAATGCAGCACAGATCATAATGGTGCACTTTGAAATGAGTACAGCGAGCTGAGAAACAGGCTTTTGAGCATCAGGAAAGAAGATACCAAGGCACTTCAGTGACTCAGCCTTGTGCATTCCATTGTCATGCAAAACTTGGTGCATTTATCCTCAGAAAAACCACAGACCAAGACTTGTGTGAATGGATGTGGCTTGTCTATTGCATCTGGTGTTCAGCGTCTCTGCAGATGACTCGCCAGGACAGAAAAAGTTTCTGTCAAGTTCTGAAGGATGTGAAAGTGAAGCACGAAAGGGAAGTTGTTGAGAAAGAGCTGTTTCTTTATAATTGACAATAAGATAGGACTTCTTGGAAATATTTACAGATATCTTATGTGTCCTTATGTGAGGAGAGGGAGGTCCCCATATAAGGGGACCTTGGGATCTTGTTTTCCCGTGTTTCTCCTTCCTCTTTCTTGAACTGTTTCTTTATCCTTTACTAGCCATTATAACTTATTTATTACAAATAATAAATTGTAAATGTCTAGTAAATTACGTGGTTCTGTGACTTCTGGCTACAATGTGAGATTGAGCTTAGAGGGCAAGCAAAGGTGATTTTGGTTTTTGTGGCTATGTTTTTACTTTTAGGACTTAAAAAATATGAGCAAGGACTTACTCTTCAGGTTTTTCTTCTCCAAAAATAAATGTATTAGATCACTACTGAGGCTTGAACTTGAGTAAGTGGCACTGAAGACTTGTTGCGAGACTGATTACAGATTTCAAAGGACACTTGTTTTGTATTATGGTGGTTAAAGCTTAGCAGTCAAAAGGGACTTAGATGTATAGGTTTTTTTCCTGTGGAAAAAAGTCTTGGCTATTAGACGCAACTCCAAAGCACTCCAGCTTTGCCTTTGGGGGACCCCTGCAGCAGGCAGGGAGGGTTCTGGTCCTATTTGGATGCTAGATCTGCAGTCTTCAGTGTTTTTAAGCCCTTTTGAATCTGATTTTGAGTATTCTTTTGGTCTCTTCTGGAATACATCTCCAGCAGATACTTGAGTGCTCTCATTTGGGCAGAATCTGCATACTGTAGATGGCATTGCCTGCAGGAAGAGGACTTGCTGTCAGTCCTCAAGTACGGCAAGGTATCACTATATTTGATACCTGAAGTCACTGATTTCGGATATCACTATCTTCAATCAGTTTAAAGATAAGTCCTACACACACACAGAGGCAGAGTCCAGCCTATGCTCTTTGAGTACTGTCATTAGAGGTGTCCTTCCCTGGCCCTCAGCTTCCCACCCAGACCTGGTTAGCCAAACCACAGCAGTTTCTCCAGGTCCAGTTTCTCAAGTTTTGAAACGCCAACGCCACAGGCAGTGGGATTTGTGAGCTTATTGCCATTGTATCTGATTGCCACATCTGTGCAAATAGCTGCATTTCTCTTGCTGATCTCTGCTCTTCCTGAGCAAAAAAAAAAAAAAAGACTCGTGGAGACTTAATTGCTGCTTGACTGTACAGTATCTAGCGTACGCGTGCCATGTAATTCAGATGTACCTTTCTTCCCCTTCGTGTGGTTGTGTTCAGGTGAGATTGCCACCTGTGTACAAGCAGTTTTTGTCCCTTTTTTCAGCCAAAGTAGTAGTGCAGACCAGGCAGAGAGCTGGTGAAATGCCTTTGCTTCCCCATTGACTGATGGAGTTCTATTGTCTGTGGCTCAGGAGGGTGGTAGATGTGTGTTACATGGGCAGTTTTACAGGGCTGCCTTTCAAGCAAGGGGTAAAGTGACATCAAGCCTCCCCTCCTTTATTTAAGGTGACTCCTGAATATTTAGAGGTATTCTCCATTATTTATTTTTTCAGCAGAAAATCAAAATGTTATCTTTGCCCTTACAGCTTTTGCCATAATCCACATATAAATGAGGTGATAAAAAGTAAGGATTAGATTGGATTAAATAAATCTTTGCTAATACTTTTTGATTGGCTTAATCAATAATTAATCATCTCTTAGATGAGGCTGTAGCTTGTGGAGTAGATATAATTGGATTAGCTGCTGAGAGGCCTTTGGAGCTTTGAAGAGATTAAAATGGCTGTCAATCCTGTAATTAAACTGCCACAAACAAAAGTGATAGTATTAGAATCAGTCAGCTTTTTTAAAATGAATCAACAAGTACTTACACACCCCTAGTTGTGGTGCAGGCAGAGTCTGTTCTCGTATCTGAGTTATTTCCTTCCACAAGACGAATATGTATCAAATCGTTGTTTTAATTGCCGGGGCATATATTGGCCGGAACGGCAGGTGAAAGTTTAGGAAGAAATGGCTGTCAGAAGTCTGGGAAGAAAAGCTAGTTTGTGTATCTAAAACAGTGAACCTGCTCCTTGTCTTGAGCCTATTAGGCACTGACTTTTCATGGTGTCTTTAATTGGCTAAGTAGGTTTGGCCTACATGAATGAAGTCTTTATCTGTCCTACTCTTCCCCTCCCACCTATTTTGGAAGGTTTTTGTTCCTCTTTCCTCAAAACAGAGGGCTTTCGCAGAAATAATTTCCTTTTAAAAGCTCATTATGTACTAAAGCATATACTGTATGTGACTGTATTATACACATGTGAATTGATATGTGTGCATATGCTAACACAATTTTTCTAAATCTCTTACAGAGATGAAGTTATAAAACCAATGGGAGTGCGGCCGGATGGTACAATGGCTCCTTTGGAAGAAGCAGTCAGCCAGTACCATACCAACAAGCAAGACAGTTCAGAGTCAGACTAAAGCATCACCTGCTTCACTCTCAATTCTCCTCTAATCCACACTTTTTCTTAGAGCCACGACATCTTTTATCTAGGCATTTTATCCTCACATTAGCCAGCATCACTTTAACTGTTCTGTTATTGGGATATTTAAATGATGGGTCCTGTGGTGTAATCTCTGGATTTTTATTATGTCTGTTTAAAGAACATATCAACTTATTAGTTTATGATTCTTATTAATTTAAAACTAAATGTATTTCAAAGGGATAGAAAGCGAAAGCCTGCAATGTAAAATAAATTACAGAATCATAGAATGATTTGGGTTGGAAGGGACCTTAAAGATCATTTAGTTCCAATCCCCCTGCCATGGACAGGGACACCTTCCCCTAGACCAGGTTGCTCAAAGCCCTATCCAACCCGGCTTCAAACACTTCCAGGGATGGGACATCCACAACTTCTCTGGGCAACCTGTTTCAGTGCCTCACCACCCTCAGAGGGAAGAATTTCTTCCTTAGATCTAATCGAAATCGACTCTCTTTTCAGTTTAAAGCCATTACCCCTTGTCCTATCACTGCATAAAATACAATCACTTTAATTTTCCAGAATCTAGTTTTCTGAACTTTGTAGGTTTTCCCATTCTTGATATTTTATTTTTTATATTGTCTTGCCAGTCCCTTTATATAATTGTAATTAAAGAAGCATGTTTGCTTAATGGCATTAGGAGCAGAGGGTGTTTAAACTTGGAAGTCTGACTGAGCTCATGAAGCTGCTTTAGCTGGCATTCGGCAGTGATTTCGGAGCTACCCTTTTAAAAATGTCATTAGATTTCTTACTGCTGCACAATTCTGTGGATAAGTTCCTGCTTAAGATTTTATCAATGTGTCAGTCACTGACTGCTGCCAAAATTACCTTTATATTGGGAACAAGATGATGTTTGTTCTGTGTCCTCCCTCCCCTCCCCTGTTAAGACCACATGAATCTTCCCCCCACTCCCATTTTTGGTTAAGTAAAAACCTCCCCGTTCAAAACGGCATTCAGGTATGCACCCTTAAATGTTGCCATGGATGGGAGTGGACTAAAGCGAAGTGCATGTGCACAGCTTTTACTGAATTGGGGCCCACTTTTGGAGATTAACAGGTATGCCTCACTTGAAGGGAAGTTAAACTAATCAACAAGGCAATATTTCCATTTAGGGGGAACTTAGAAAGCGATGGGATAGAGAATGGGAAGGTGGGAAGGAGAAGAAAGGGTCACTTTGAACTCTGTGCTCTTCAAAAGCAAAGATTAAAGTTTCAGGCGTGCTGCACTGCTGTTGTTGCCTCTTTGCCTGCTTGGTTTCTTTCTCAGTGCATTTCTCACAGCATGAATGACACGAAGAATAATCCAAGTCCTGGTTTGTAATTCCTTTTTTTTTGTTTTTTTGTTGTTGTTGTTCGGAGACATACACATGCCATTGTTGTGAACATTTCATAGATTGGCGAAGGTTCTTCAGTTTGTCATTTTTTTTCCTGTGACTTGACACTGGTTCCCTGAATTGAGGAAGCTGGTGTTCAAAGACCTAGTTCAAAGGGAGGGCTTGGTGTGAAATCATGCTGTGGTTTCCCAGGTGAGGAGCTTCCACAGACCTCCTTAGTCTTCCAAAAGGACTAAAAAGAAATAATGCACTGCTGTCCTCTCTGCAGTTAAGTTTGTTTTCCCAAAGGACACTGGCCAGCCATAGCAATGCCTTTTTCCTTTTTTTTTATTATTTATTATTTCTCTTCAAAAAAACAAGGGAACTTAAGGACATTAATTCTATACATTTCTGTATGCTGGGACCTTTCTGAATATTAAAATCATTGATGTTTTGGGTTATGACTTGACTTGGGCTACATTGTCTGCCACATTGACATGGAGCATCACAATTTGGATAGAGGGAAAAGGAAGCCAGCTGCTGTTTCCACAGAGCAATAGCTAAAGCAAAACTCATCAACGTATTGGTAATATTGTAATTGTACCTATTATGTCTGAATGCAAAAGGGGGAGGGAGGAGTTGCCCAGGAGCAAAAACTATGGTTAGCTGCATCTAAGCTGGGTCTCAAAAATGTAATTCTGGGGTTAGCATCACCCACTGACTTCTCTGAGCCCAGCACAGGCAAGTATTAAGCACACTGCAGGTGCAAAGAATTTATGAACCTTCCCTGTGGAGCAAAACTTAACTAGCTCTGTTAATGAGGAATTGAGCCCTGTCTTGGTACCAGCTGAGGCTGTTTCTTGGGGCTGGAGAATCAGTTATTTCACTAATGGGCTGTGTGGGTTGCTATAGAGGGATGAGTACAGGGCATGAAAAAGCAAAATCTCAATTTGTTGCTTTACAGGTTGTAGAATGTGCTCCTACAATTAGCTGGCTGAAGAGATTAATAAAACAATAATGGCTCCAGGGACCTTGTTACAAATGGTATAGCGTGAGGCTTCTGTGGTCTGGCTCCTGCCAATTGCAACAGGGCAACAATAGTCACAATAAACAGCTCTTCTGTTTAGTTTATCTTGGAAAGCACATGCTTATAGTAGGTTTTACAGACATGGGATGCTGCTTCCACTAAAAAGAAAAAAAAAAGACCAAGCTTAGAAGGTTCTGCCTGAATCCTCTAGCTCAAGAGTGATTTTCATAATTGGGTTGCCTGTGGTGGGAGCACAGGTTGATCTAGTTAAATTACTAACTGCCACTAGTGCAGTATTCCAAAGCATCTCATGTTCCAAGATGACAGCCTGTGGAAGGGGTGCTACAGGATTTTTGGGTTATCTTTGAAACATAACATAAGTCCATCCTTAGCTGCACCAGCTGGAGATCTGGGAAAGTCTTTGGACAAAGTTTGTTCAACATAACAGGGCATCTGCTTCCATGTGTGCTGTGCAATGTTTGTTTTGTCTTCAAGGTAACCATGCATGTGTTAAGATTTCTCTTGGATTGGGAGTCTGAAGAAAAGTGAGTGGTTTAAAAAATTGGGTAGTTTAAAAAAGAAAAAAAAATGCTCCCTGGAATTGTTTGTTTACTGTGAAATTAGGATTTGCTCCTGAATTTATTTTCAAAGCTGAACTTCCAAAATTGGAGACTTGGGTTACTGAACCTTATTTAAACCAGCAAACTGGGCAGTGAACCTGACCAGTTTTGGGAATGTTATCTCTTTCCTCCCCAACAGAGCACAGAGGTGCCACATCTGCATTTGAGCGAGCATTGGAAGTTCCTGTCTGATGTGACCAATAAGAATCTGCTGCAACCTGCAACGTTTTAATACCTGGTTGTCTCAAGCCTAGAGAGCAATGAAAGGTTTGCTGCCTCTGCTAGCAGAAGCTCTGATAGAGTCATTATATGTGTATTTGACTAATGCATTACATTCCACATGGTACGAGCTGTTCTGTGTTACATGAAATAACAATATTTGATTACATAAATGCATGCTTTTGTTTTCCTCCAGAACATTTGAGTATAGTTGACACAGAAAATACTATAATGGAAAAAGGAACTCTTCTGAGTAAAATGTATATAAATTTTCTGGTGGTGGCTGTAAAGGTGTTAGCGAGTTTCAGAGATGTGTACCTTTCATTCCCAAAAAGCCTTTTGCAGTCAGTCCCAAATACAAAAACTTGTGTTTCGGTCTTTATTTTGGTATCAACATCCAAAGTAACACAGTTCTCATTAAAGCTTGTCAATGATTTGGAAGCTTTGCTTTTCTTTGTTTCCCATTAGAGTTATGAAACAAAAAAATGATGGGAAATTGCTGAAAATTGTCAGAATACTTTTTTCTTTTGCAAAATAGCTCAGACGTATTTGTTTAAATGTTCATGAAAACTTCCTGGCAGGTATTCTCAAATGCTAATTGAAGTTTTATGTGCCCTAGATGTAGTTTTCAGGAAAAAGGGACACTTACAATCTGTTATAAATGTTATTGTGAAAAAATTAACAGAATGTTAAAGAAATTTACCAAAGAGGACAACCACATTAGCTTCAATGTTTTGAATATACAACATTGCTGTAAGTTGGGTGTGGCCAAAATAGATTTTTCATCCTATATCTGGACTTTTTCCAAGTACTTGAAAATCTTCAATGTCTTTAAAAAAACAGTGTATTTCTCTTACAGTTCTTCAAGCAATAATTTTCTTCTACCTGGGTGAAAAATTGATAGTCAAAGGTGACTTTAAGGAAGAGAATATTACAATGAAGTTGTTGTATTAGCTGGTTGCCAAGCATCCCAGTCAAAAAGAGGAAAGTAAACCCTGAAGTATGTAAGATCCCAAATCTCCTGAAGGAGCATTCCACAACATTGTCCTTCACCTTATTACCACAAAACAGCTAATAAAATCCTGTGCTTTAATAAGGCTGGCTGTAAAAAGACTGTTCCACTGTTCAAACAGTTGAGAGACAGACTTTGCTAGTCTTTGATGAGCAGCAAGTTAAACAGCTGCCCAGGTCAGATTCTTTTCTAGCCAAGCATGGAAAAATGATGATTTAGTGGTAGTACACTGATGTAGCTCGCTTTCAGGGGAAAACAACAACAACAAAAAAAACACAAAACCAAACCACTACATTATAATCTGACAAATGATAATCTCTGTTGTGTTAACATCTTAGTTACTTGGATGGCTCTGGGTCTTATGAAAAGTGATAGGAAACATTTCCTGGTTTCTTCGCGCAAAAACTTCTGCTCATCTTGAAGTTGATTCTCTCCAAAATCCGTGTTCTTGCTCTGGTGATGCCATATTTAGACCAGGAATTCTAGGCGTAAGTGATGTTCTTTTAGCTTTGCCGCATATCCTCTGGCTAGGTGTGCCTGGGAACACGGAAGGTGGCTCTTGGTGCTGGATGAGAGCAGTGGAGACCCTGCCTGACAGAGGTGGGACCTGGCAGCCCTCAGAGGCCACCCTGTCTATCTCCTACTGCCTGTCCATTACCAGGGCAGGGATGGGGAAGACACGAGTGGCTGCGTGGCGTGGAAAATGATGGTAATTGCCTACTTGCAGTAAAAACGAATGTTTTTCAGGGCTCCTCCTGTCACCACCAGCACCACTGTCTGCAGGTGAGTCCAGTTGATCCTCTGCTTTTACCTGTTTCTTGGCCCTGTGGAAGACTGCCTTCGTTAGGGTATTGCCTTGGGTTGCAGGAATCAGTAATGCTTTGTCTGCTGCATGTCTGTTCCTCCTTTTGGAGGCATGCCATGCCTCTGTGACTCGCTTTCCTTCTTGAGA